AGAAATAATCAGGTCTGAAAAACTATAAATTTTGATTAATTCGAGATTTTTTAACACGTAATCAAACCCCATTCGCGCCAACCTTGAGTAATAAAATCGATAAACTAAGACAAAATTGGATTTTCCGTTTACAAGCAGGTCTTTACAAAACTACTGGTGATGAAGGACTGGCAGTTGAATTTTCCGACAATGTTATGTTTCCATTAAATTTCATATAGCCTTAGAAGTGGGGTGATCTAGTTTTCGCAACTTGGACTTGTTGTCAGGGTGACTTAAGTAGAACGGACCTTGTCCGAAGTCCTCTGTCATAGTAGGCACCATAATCCCCAGCATCAGATCGTGGACTTGGTACATTCTCAGACATTTCGCCGGCACCGTAATCGACATTATCAATGAATGTTGCCATTCTACGCAACGAGCTAGAAACTCGGCAGAAACAAGTAAGTCAATCCCTAGACCAACGTTCTGCCGAAAACGGTTACGCTATCACTATTCTTTCTTTCCTGGCTCATCTATCTATCCCTAACTCTAATATGCAACTCCCACCCTAACACAGTTTCCTACTTGTTCACATACCACTCGTCAAAATGTGTGCCTTTTTTTGGCAAATATAATGTGCCCTCATCACACCTGCTATTCACCCTGGCATATTCTGTTTCGATCATCCAATCCGACTCGGACTTCCCATCCAGATTTCCCTCATGGTCCTGTAGATCCGTTTGTTATCTTTCCGGTTGACTGATTTTACTCGGTTCCGTGAAACCTAGGCTTCGGATGATCATGCTTCTCATTACTCCTATCTTTAGTCTGTAATTGTGATGAGACTTTAAATTGAATAAGAATACTTTCTAAACAATTTATTCTTGAGCGACCCATTAGAACGAATCACTTCAACATCCAGGAATGGCAACCGCTCACCTTCCTTCCATCGTGAATTTAAATGTTCATCAATCTGGCCTATGAAATTACGAAAATTTTCTAGTTTTTTTCTTGCATGTGACCAAGGCGCGAAGTAATCACGAGGTACTGCATCAACACTGGTGACATCTTGAAGTTCTCTTCTATTTTGTTCATGTAAACGTTTACCAAAAGTGGTGAGAGCGGCGATCCTATGGGAAGTCCAAATATTTGCTCATAGATGATGCCGTTGAAGATAAAATAGTTGTCCTTATTGTCAAGTTGATTAGTCGTGCTGATTCCTGCTGATTCTTTCTGATTCCAGGATATCCTCCACTCGGTCCAGGATTTCCAGCAAGGCCATTAGCACATTTTAACCAGAGATATTTGTATACACGGATTCTACATCAAAACTTACCAATAGGTCTGTTTACTCCAGTGCTATGTTCTTGATTTTTTGAGAAAATGCATATGAATGCTTCACCATGTTTGATAGCCTGTGATTTAATATCGTGACAGGAGAAAATGCGCCAACTGTCCTGCTGAAAATCCTGGACCGATAGGAGGATATCCTGGAATCACACGGATCAGTTAGGGGTTGTTAACACGACTAATCAACTTGACAATAAGGACAACCAATTTTACATTTGACGAAAGCATATATGAACAAATATTTGGACTTCAAATGGGATCGCTGCTCTCACCTCTTTTGGCAAACGCATGCATGGACAAAGTAGAAGAGAATTTCCAGATCCCACCGTTACAACCAGCAGTTCTCATGCGGTGCATGTAAGATTACTTTGCACTTTGGTCATCGCTATTACACTTTAACCGTGGTTATTTAGATAAAGTGTAGTGTGCTCCTTTGAGCGACATTAAACCTTCACACTCCAACTGTCGTTCTCACCCCCCCCTTCATCCTTGTGCAGGGAATGTTGATCAGGAATGCTGAAAGCATGAGCATCCAAAGCCCATGTTTAATGGATGTGAAATTTTGGAACGAAGAGATGGACAAATTCACTAGGATATCCTTTGGCAACGGCTACCCAGGCGAAGTAATACAAAGAAACATGCAGGCCGTGAAAAGCCGATGTCAGAACAGGGACTATAAGAGAACAGAAAGGACGGAGAAGGATTTACAAAAGTGGATATGACTACCTTCCTGCAAACTAACTCAAAAACTACGACCAATATTTAAAAAAAGGAATATTCGGATGGCCATGAAAGAAAAAACAACACTTTTCACAAGTATACAGACCCAACTAAAGAGGGAGGACAAATTACATTGTTCAGGAGTTTATTGAATGACATGCGGTGCCTACAAAAATATATTGGCTAAACAGGGAAAAAAATTAGCATACGAGTCAATGAATATAAAAGCCTCTGCAGGAAAAATGATACCGAAAGATGAGAATTAGTGGAACACATCGCACATAATAGACGTAAGATCAATTAGAAGGCAACAGAAAAAAGAGCCGCATACAGTGAAAACACAAAGAATGGGAAGATTAGGGGGGCATTGACACGCTTGGGGAAAAAATCTAATGAACAGGAGATTGGAGGAAGACAGAGTTAGCGATAACTTTGCCTACTAATTAAGTAAACTCGGGGAAAGCAATAATACAACAAGACCAGCAAAAAGGAAACGCCTGGACCAGGGATCCATCGCTAACCGGAAGAAAAGGGAAGGGGGAGGAAATTTCTAAAGTCAAGCGAAGACGTTATCAGTGAGTGATATCTGTTCGAATTAAACCATTACAACTTTGGGGGTCTGGCCGTGAGGGAACTAGGCAGACGGATAAGCACAATCGTCACAGAAATTCGCCAAAATGTTCTAGAAATCCACTTAAGATGCCGCGTGCGACCAAGAATAGGCGTCCACAGTTTGCTCATGTAATACGGGTTTAACCAAGGAGACGACTCGTGAAGGCAATGCCTAATACCTGCAAGCATGGGAACCAGAGCATAGGCGCTCTGCTCGGTGAGGTAGCAGTGTACGTGCTTCTAAGGCTTTGAGAAATAGCGCCTGGATCAAAACGCACACTGGAACTGAAACCGAGTGAAATCGATCAACCGGTAAAATAAGAAACAGAGCAGCAAGACCATGAGGGAGATCCGGATCGGAGGCCTTGTGCAGAGAATGGCAACACTCACTGATGATGCCGACTACGATGACGATGAAACGTCTGAGAATGTACCAAGTACATGGTCTGATGCTGGGAATTATGATACTATGACAGAGGACTTCGGACAACAAGACAAAGTTGTGAAAATGAGGTCAACCCACTTCTATAAATCGAAAAGAGACTGCGACCATATCGAGAGCCAGACCATCTGTCAAAAGGTATCATCGTCTTATATATACATATTAAATTCAATTAAAACGAGAGGATTACCTATATAATTGCAGCCAGTCTATGATCACCTCAAATGGAATATGGTGGATACAATTCTTATATAAAGTTGGGTTTTGTACCAGACGGTAAATGGTTCTTCTTACCTATCATGAATAGCCTGTGCCGCATTTAATTTGGTCGACTATCCAGTACCTTAAAATAAATGACTAAAATAGAATCCGGAGGCCTAAAACCCGAGATTCAGCGATAGAGATAAATAATAAGCAGTCCATAATAAATAAGACGTTAATGTGTTGTCTCAATAATAAAAGTTAAAATAAACAGCAATGTAGACAGTAATATAGTGATTCGGAAAAGATACTCAAGCAAGAAACTCACGTTCTTATCTCTTCGAGATAAGCAAATCAGGCTAATAGCCAAAAAATAGTAGTAGTCTTAAAGCATTACAGCCACATCAGATTGAAACTAAGCAGTTACTTATGTATATCGTGGTGATCAATTAAATTGTACTGCTCTTAAATAGAAGAGACTGCAATACCTACTTATAGGAATCCAAAGTTGAAGAAAAAAGTCAATTCGTAGCACAATATGATAACTGAAGTCACGTAGGGCTAATAAAATGAAATGACTCCAGGACAATAATAGAAGGCATTAGGTCCAATTAACGTGAACTTAATCCAGTAAGAAATACACGGCGATAAAAAGGAGTATGATTCAAGAATTTTACATGCAAGAGCCTTTTATTAGCTTGATATTTGGTATTCAATATTTTTCAGGTTTTCGTCTATAGCAGATCTAATAAACATATTAAATGAATTGGCCAAGATATACTTCATCAAAAATCGTGGTCAAAAAATAGCGAAGTGAGCATTTCTGCAGGCTTTAGGTTGTCCCATTAAAACCTTTAATTTGAATTGAGGAGGAAAAGCAATAAGCAATTAGATAGACTAAGTTTAGAGCTGAAGGAAAATAGATTGGTCGGCAGAATTTTTTAAGAATTCAAGTGCACCAGCACTAAATGACAAAAGGCAATAAAAATCAATGTCTTTTAAGCAGCACATTCAAATAATCATAGCAAATTATCAATTATGAAGTAATTTAAATGAGTCATTCTAGTGATGCTACTATCTTATGGGGTGTCCCACATGGGCTTGCTAGTAGGTCCATTTAGATTAATAGTTAGAAGTACAAAACAATCTTCCTTCAGTACCCAGAAAGGTTAATTTACACATCCTCTCCAACCGACTACTCAAAAGAAATTAGAAAAAGGCCTGCATCAAAAATAAAGCCTGACTGAAAATGAAAACCCTATTAGAAATCAAATGTTACTCATTCTATACCTACCATCTTTCATAGGCATATGAGTTTGGGCTTATTGTTCTTTGCTCTGAAAGGAAGGGCAGGTTGTGCTGAAAATAACGAATCTAAAAATATACATGTATGCTTAAACAACACATCGGTAGTCAGGTGGACAAAAGTCTGAAATTTTGTTGGAAATATCTTAAATTAAATTAAGCATGAAACCTTACAAGATACGACGAATATACTTGAAATGGTAGGGGAATAGGCCCCTGCAAACATATTTAGATCAGCATGAGAGGCAACATTACAGGCAAGTGCAATTAGAAGGCATGCTTAGAATTGAGCCTATAAAGGTCGGCATCAATCTGTCCAAATGAAGTGCCTTAGTGGGAAATCAAGCCTGACGCGACGATGTCGGACACTGTTAAAGTAAAATACATAGCACATTGGAAAAGCAATTAGTGCTAAATCCTCCCCTACGTCACGGGGAATCCTGTAAAACAGAATGCTCGAAAATGAAGAAATTGCTACATCATGATTAAGACTTAAATTATGGCAATGACAAGATTTAAGGGCTGTGGGAGACAATTCTGGTTGAAATAGGGTTATCTCGCATAAGATTTAATGCATAATGAAGCAAGACAGATCAGATAAACAGTACATATAGAAAAAGATGCCGAAACTGTTCGATTTTATGAGGCAACTTATGCAAAGTGCAAATTCCTATTTAGCATAATGGATGAAGTAGGGTATCATGAAATAGCACAATGCTGCTTCTTTATAGGGAGGATGATTAATATCAATAACCGTCTGATGAATGCTTGTTAGATAGAAATAATAAAAATACGCAACAAAATAGCACTGTAAAACTAACATTTAACAGTGCCATTTGACCTTTCGCTTAGTATGGAAGGAATTCCTGAGAACACCTCGGCAGAAGCCGAAGGACGATTGCTTTGAAGGTGAGACTGTTGGTCCCGATGAATCTATGCTGAACTTTTATCTGCCACCATAATGAAGTTATAATAGGTATTTAGGATTGCCACTGGACACCATTATTGACTTAGCGTTTGGTGAATATTATCAAAGAATGATATCACACCCCAAGATGGGAGAACGGTGTACATAATTCCTACCTCAAATCAGCTGTTACAGCTATAGTACACTCATCCATTGGTCTCACGTGAGGCTGGATTATGAATCCTATACGTCCAACTTCTCATGCGAAATCAGTTAACTGTCTTTAAAAAGGGTTAAGATAGGAGGAAGTGAAAACAAGACTAAAGAGAAATATTGCAAGCATGTGAACCTTGGAGAGATTTTATTTATTACTTGCAACGAAGTCATACTCACGAGAAAACCAAATTAAAGCTAAGTCCATCAGAACTTTGGCTACGCATTTTCCTCATTGGAATAGTCATTTAGAGCATACCCACAATTATGGCATAACAAAGTCAGTGGTAAAAGAAAAGAGTCTGAACAGTTATCTAATTAATACCCTATTCGGTAATGAAAATCTGGGAAGCAGAAAGGACTGATCATACTGTATACCGTATGAAGTTTGCGTGAGAAAAGAGCCAAATGGACAAGCCGACATAATGGAAACAGTTAGCGAATAAGAAAATCAGACTCATTAATCATAGCAACTAGGAAGTAGCAAAAAAGGATTGGACTTGTTTTTGCAATTTAGTTGTGCTTTCTGGGGATGAAATACTAAAAACAGCCCAGAGCTGCGTCATCTGTTTTATTGTCATAAGCCAGCATTGGACCGCTGAGTAGGTACATACCCAGACATCTCAGTGCGTAACGATGCCTTGGCATGGAGCTAAAACTCGTTAACAAGAAATATGAATTAAATTCAATTTTCCCTATAGCAAATGTGGCATTTCACCACCTTGCTTTTTGTTATTGTTACCTATTGATATAACAGCCTGCACCTCTACTTCCGATAAGTTTGCAAATAGTATCCTATCTGTTCCGACAAACTTGAGAAGGTATATTCTATTGTAATTACCTTTATAGTCGGTCTCCCATCCTCTATACCAGGCTTCTTAATCCAAAACAGTGTATATGATCATCATTTTCCCTCTTAAACTTATTTCAACTTGTTACTCTATGTTCAAGACAAGCCGTATGGTATGCAATTAGTTGACTGCATTCAATCTGATACAGACTACAGATGCGTCGTAGTTAAGGTGTTAGTTGCGTGATCGGCCCGAATGATGGCAGGTGTACGATAGCCTTCACAGAGGTCAGCTAAAAATGGCTGCAGTACGTCTATACCCGTTACTCGGAATCAAGATTCCATCATTAGCAACCTATCCACTAGCACAATCCGTCCATCTCATTTCATATGACCCTTAGGTATTGCTTATTTAGCATGTCCAAGTTAATCTGTCCCATCTTCTAGGAACCGTTGGTGTGGAACTATAGTTTTTCAATAGCTCATTTTTGTCTTGATTAAAGCCCTCTTGATGTCTAGAAGGTTAGATTAGTAGATGGTACCAGTCCAGAGTAGTTAGATCAGTCCAGCTCTACTTATATAAGATAAAGCTGGGTTAGGGCACCCTATCCCGCATAAGTTGAATATTGAACAGACATAATACATGAGAACCATATTAATGAAGTTGGTTGACCTTGTTGCCGCAACATGGTCTTGTTGTCAGGGCGACTATGTAGAACGCACCTACCTAGTCCGGAGTCGTCTGCCATAGTAGTTGTCATGATTCCCAGTATCAGACAGTGGACTTGGTACATTCTGAAACGTATCGCCGGCATCGTAGTCGGCATCATCAGTGAGTTTTGCGATTCTTCGCACCAAGCTACGAACTCGTCAGAGACAAGTGAAGCCAATCCCTCGACAAACGTACTGCTGAAAACGGTTACACTACCACTGCTCTTTCAGTCCTGGCCTATCTATCTACTCTTTACCCTCTTATCCCACTGCCACCCTATCACAAATTCTCTCTTGTTTACATTCCACTCGTCAAAATATGTGCCCTTTTGTGGCCCGATTTCCTCATCGCAAGACTTTTCCGTCCGATTAACGGCAGATCCTTGATCCAGGCGTCTTCTTTTTGCTGGTCTTGCTTTATGGTTTTCCCTGAGTTTGCTTAGGCAGTAGGCTTCGGATGATATAGATTTTCGGGACGAGGAGCTTGAAAAATTGATAAGGATCTTCTTCAGCAATGGCTACCCAATCGAAGTGATACAAAAAGCATACGGGCCTTGAAAAGCCGATGGCAGAACGGGGACTATGAAATAGCATTAAGGACGATGAAGGATTCACAAAAGTGGATATGCCTACCTTCCTGTGAACTAACTCAAACTACGGCCAATATTGAGTAAATGGAGTATTCAGGTGGCCATGAAAGAGTAATCAACACTTTTCACAAGTCTACAGACGCAACATGAAAGGGTAGATAAATTGGATTGTTCATGAGTTTACTGTATATCATGCGGCGCCTGCGACAGAAATCTATTGGCGAAACAGGGAGAAAAATTAGCAGACGAATCGAGGAAAATCAGAGACTCAGCAGGAAAAAGGATACAGAAAGATCAGAACTAGCAGAACGCATCGCACGGACCGGGCACGAAATCAATTGGAAGGCAACAGAAAGAAGAGCTCCATACGGTGACAACACAAGGAAGAGGAAGATTAGGGAGGCCATTGAC